CTCTTCCCAGTGCAAGGAGGCTGGGCTGGGGCTGTGGCCCTCTGTAGCCCCCGCCTCCCAGTAATGCTGCTGCCCACTCCAAACGTAGCTCCCACACCAAGAGCCTGGTGCTGCCCCTGGCCCCAACCTGCAGCAGCAGTCTGCCCTCACCCCATGCACAGATCCAGGGGGCACATGCCCCCTATGCCTCCCCATGGAGTGCATGCAGCAGCGGGAGCCACCCCCCTTCCCCGCACCCCACAAACAAGCCGCTTGCAGCTCTGTCCTGCATCCTTCCCTGCGCTCTCTGGGCAGCTCCTGCCCCCACCCCTTCACTGTGAGGGCCTTGATCTGCTACCCATGGCGGCCTCCATTGAATGAGCTACAGATAAAATATCCCCGCTGCCATTTTGAAGTGCAGGCATGCTGATACACAAGACACTATGGGCATTTTAAATTGGAGCGGCTCTTAGAGCCACTCTGAAGTGCCCCCACCCAGCATGTGTATAGACACCCTACCTGTATAAATCCTTTCCAACCCTAAGAGTTGTAAGTGAAAATCAGATTTAAACATATATAGCTGCACATACACAATTAAATATTGCATGTGAAAAGTTAGAGGCCACTTTCAAAAATTTAGCCAGAAAATCATTTCAGTCCTTGCCTGATTATTCTATAAAGAAGAGGAGAAAGACAATATATTACCTCATAAGTCTGGTTAAGGTATTTTGTATAAACATACACATGTTCACCCCATCCTATAATTAATTAAAACAATGGTTAAAATCGTCCTGTAAAATGACAAAAACAGACATAATTACTTGCTATTTTATGTATACAAGGACTGATGTTGATCTCATGCTTATTTATACTGATGTGAATGAAGGTAGCCGATTCATATAAGAGTCATAATGGACTGAAGCCTAGAGTTAATATGAGACTGCCAAAGTTAGTGGACTCAAAATATTTATCTACTATTCCTAGAACCTGTCAAAAAAAGCCAGCTACTTTCATGGGAAATTTTGGTTCTTCCCCCTCCTCCCACCCAAATTTTCCACATATTTTTTTCCAACATAAACAAAACTCTATAATCAAAAGCTGCTTTGAGTGTAAGCATTCCGTTTTCAGTATCAATGTTTGCCTTTTGAAAACCAGAACATTTTAGCAAGATAAAATTTTTCACTGTACATTTTTGTTTTCAGCCAAAACCATTTCAACTGAAAAATTCTGACCACTTTTTCTGCCCCCTCTTTTATCAACTTGCAAAATCTATTCACAGATTTGTGTGCATCTATAACAAATGTGTTAGTGCTGACTCAAAAAATTATAAAACAGTGCCAAGAGTCTTGTAGCAATTTGTGGGGACAAAAGCAAGGAAAACCCAACTTGTGGGTAGGAGAACAGATTTTAGCCTCAGGCTTCCACGTAAAACAATTTTAAAGTGATGAACAAATAACTCCCTTTTGCTTATATAAGTATATTTATAATCTGTGTTACAAGACGTTTCTAGTTAAAAGTGTCAGCACCTTTCCATCTAGCAGGTAAAATGACAGGCAAGTGAAGCTCTTTTTCCATTACACTATCAATGTGCCTTAACTAGTAACTGGAAGGACCATCTGCTAAAATAAGCGAGCATGTCACCATCCTTGTCCATTTGTTTGTGGGCCTCTGAAGAGAAAAAGGCAACAGCATTTCTCTGTACAGGCCAACTGGCACTTTAGTACTTAAAGGCTGATGTTCAGGCAGTACAAACTGCATAGCTCCAATTAAGTCAGAGGATCTGCCTCATCCCTCTTAGAAGTTGCTTGAAGACTGTCTTTCACAATCTGCATGGCATTAATCAAAAAGATTCCAGATTTTTATTCCAGGTCTGATCCTACCTCCACTGAAGTCAGTTTCAACACACATTCTCATCTTATGCAATAACAAGCCCTATTTGATCATGCCCAACATTTTCATATAAAAAGAAAAAAAGCCTCAAAACTCCCAGAGGAACTCATGTAACAATATTCACATTCAGATACCAGTGCTGCAATTTGTATGCTGTAATTATCAGCAAACAGCCAAACTGATTCTCCAGTGGGAGCTTTGTCTCATTGTATCACAACTCAGTGGCGTCTCTGCATTCAAATGGCCATCTTAACACACACACTATTTCATGCTGAAAGTCAAAATAGAAATTTGAGATTAATGCTGCAATGAACCAGCTCGATAAACACCACTATGATTCAGCAGACAAATACATGGTCTTCCTACTGGGTACTTTTCAGATAACTCACAGGTGGTAGAGAGATTAATGGATCTCACATAGAAAAAGTACAAGAGAAAAATAACCTCCCCAAGAAAGAAGAAAAATCTTGTTTCAAGCCCTGGCCAATACATATTTAGAAGGGAAAAAAGTACATTACCTGAAATTTTTTTTTTTACCAAAATAAAAAACGTGTTCATTGGGGATTACTACAACAATCAGCTGCAGTGCTATCTTCAGAATAAGGGAAAAAACTAATCAAAATGTAGAAAGTAAGCAGAAATAGAGGAGGGAACTATTTGTGGATACAAAGATCAGTCTGCTTGCTAGGAGAATAAAGCCCCAATCCTAAAGTAAAATGCAAAGTTGTATAGATGGTTTCAGAACATTACTCCTCCTGTCAAAACCAATGAGCTTAGTTTACATTTGGTGAGCGCCAGCTTTTCACCAATTAGTACTAACCATTTGGTGGCATACTGATAGCCCACATACTAAGCTGCTTTATGGCTTCTTGAGAGGGAAGAAAGGTACAGGTCTCCTGTATGCCCCATTCCTTTCACCTGGCCCTTTCTGAGCTTCTTCTCCTTTTTTGTTAGCTGAAACTCTCTGGTCCACCAAAGAGCAAGGGTCTGTTCCACCATAAACCAAGTCACAGAAAAATACATCCTGAATTCTATTTATCAAAAAAATGTCTTTGTATTGAACATGTCACAGAGAATATATCACAGGCACTCACACAGAAAGAACAGGGACTGTATCTGTCCAAGGCTACCAGTTTTTCTTTCTCATGAGAAGTGACTCAACAGGCCAGGGAAAGTGAAAGAGCCACTAGAGGGCATGAACATCCTTACATTGTCTTTGCTGTTGGTTGTAGCTGTGTTGGCCCAACCCAGTTGGTCTAATAGAAGATATCTCATGTGCCCAAAGGACCTTGCCTGCTTTAAACTGTCTTGGCCTTCATTCTTTTGAACCAGAGAAAACAGGCAAAATGTGTGTTGAATTTACAAAACAACTCATTGTATAGCTGTTTTTTCCAGTAACTGCAGAAAACCCTCCAAAACCCACAAAACTAAACTAAATTAACTAAACCAAACTAAACAAAACAAAGCCATGGATTAAAAAGTACCAGCCCAAACAGTTTTTCCATGAGGAAACAAACAAAACATCCCACATCACCTAAAAACCTAACATTTGAATCTCTATCAAAACAGAGCTCTCTCACCTGAAATGAGTAGACTTTAGCAAGGCTGAATAAAATAATGGTTATGCCTTATTCTATGAAGTTTTATTGCTGATACAGATATTAAATCTTTGTAGATGGATGGTTCAGCAATTGGCAAATATTAATAAGCTTCTCTCTTCTAGAGAATTATTTTGAATCCTCCTAAGATCATTAGACCACAAGTGCATATGAAATGAGTAATGTAGATGTTCTTAGATCAGTATTTATGGCTATTATTATTTTTAATACCTGTGTGTAATCTGGCTGCTTCTTAAAAATTTAATTCTCTGAGCAACATTATATACATTTCCACATACATTTCTATTCCTCCCAGTAGGTAAGTAAGTAAATAAGGAGTCCTTTACTTCAGCCCTCTTTCCACTTCAGTGGCTTCATGCAATTTGTATAAATATACTGACACAATGCTGAACATCAAAGAGAGCTTATATCAAAATAGAAATACCATCAAGAATTATCTAATATGATATTCAAACAAAAAAGCTTAGTTTGCAAATTAGGAAGAACAAGCTGACCCACATTTTGTTTAAAAAAATTCAGTTAGTATTTGCTTGCTAGAAAAATACTAGGTTGCTGCTCACTCAGGCCTAAGATTCTAGTGATCTCTGATTTCAAGAGGTTAAAAAGACATCACATTTAAGGCATTTCTAATTAATCCAAATTAAAACCTGTGACAAAAGGAAGAGACTATCCCAGGAAAAAGTGTCAGAACATTTTGTCTCACATGCTTCACAGATATTTCAGGTGGGACAATGGGCTTGTATGTCTGTAGGATTCCAAGAGAAAAGGCTCTCTCTCTTGGGAAAAATGTTTTTACTCAACGTGTCCAACTTCCTCATAGACTGTGATATTCAGAAAGTCTCAAGTTCCCACCCTCTGGAAAGCAGGACCATTCAAAGTGTTTCGAATTAGGTGCCCAAAAAACCCACTTAACACTTTTTGAAAATGCAGGCTCTACTATAGTTTTTATCATCTCTACCTAACGTGACTGAAATCAGGAGTGCTCCAAGATGTAATACCCCATGATTTCAAAAGCTGTTATTTTCATCAAACTCCCTCATGAAATCTTATTTATATGGAAACACCCAAGGGAGGAAGGAGGACCCGGGAAACTACAGGCCAGTTAGTCTTACCTCAATCCTGCGTAAGCTTTTTGAGAGAATTATTCTGGCACATGTCCATGAGGGGTCAGCAGGGGAGATTATGCTTAGGGGCAACCAGCACAGGTTCATTAGAGGCAGGTCCTGTCAGACCAACCTGGTGGTCTTCTATGACCAGGTCACAAAATCCTTAGATGCAGGGGCAGCAGTGAATGTAGTCTTTCTGGACTTTAGGAAGGCCTTCGACATGGTCTCTCACCCCATTCTCATTAAGAAACTGGGGGATTGTGGTGTCGACACCTACACAGTCAAATGGGTCGCTAACTGGCTGGAGGGCCGCACCCAGAAAGTGGTGGTGGACGGGTCACTTTCGACCTGGAGGGATGTGGGCAGTGGGGTCTCCCAGGGCTCGGTCCTTGGGCCCGCACTGTTCAACATCTTCATCAGCGACTTGGATGAGGGGGTAAAAAGCACCCGGTTCAAATTCGCAGTCGACACTAAGCTGTGGGGGGATGTGGGCAAGTTAGAAGGGAGGGTCAGGCTGCAGTCGGACCTAGACAGGTTACAGGGGTGGGCGGATGAGAATAGGATGGGATTCAACACTGACAAGTGCAAGGTGCTGCACCTGGGAAGGATGAACCAGCACCATACCTACAG